TGTTATAAAAAAAAAAAAAAAGTCGAAATCAAAAATGTATTTTTGAACAAATTATTGTAATTTTGAGAAGTCGAGTAGCTAGGAACTTTAGAACATATAGTTTAGTAACTTTACTGATACGTGCTACTATGTTATTTCAACAACAATCGTCACTAAACTTGCACATTTACTCATACATAAATACAAGTGACTTTTTGGTTCCTCAAAACATTCAAAACATAATATTAATTTTGACCCAATTAATTATTTCGAAAAGACTTTTTTTAAAACAAATAACACATAAAAGATTCTAGCTTTTTTTGGTGTGACTGATCTATTATTTATTTTCGTTTCTTGAGCCGAGTGTCTTTCGGAAATAGCCTCTCTACCCCTTCGGGAAGGGTAGGGATAAAGTAGGCGTACACTCTACTCTACTTGTGAGATTTTACTGGGTTGTTGTTGTAACCAGTGGCGGAGCCACCTTACAGGAAGGGGTGTCAAAACCCTTGGCGGAAAAAGATATTGTAGGTAGATAAAAAATAAATTTATGTATATCTACTATGTATTGACTCCCGCTAATTTTCTGTAGAAATATTTATTGTTATATATTTTGACAACCCTTAATAAAAATTCGGGCTCCGCCACTGATTGTAACAACGCATAAAAGAATCCAATGAATTCGAAAGAACTGAACGAGAAACTGTATGAAGTGAAAGTACCTGAATTAGCTCAGTGATAGTCTTGAAATCAGATGAAAAACCCAAGTTAAGATCTTGGCTCCCTTCAATATGGATCTTACTAGGGTTTTGATCATGATTATGAGATGGTTGATTAACCAAATCAGGAAGTTTTTTCAAAGGATTATTAACATGATTAACATGATTTGAATAGGAAGAAGAATTAGATGATGATTTCTTGTTTTTTCTTGAACCACCACCAACAGGAATATTTCTAAGAGATCCCCCAGCAGTCCAATATCTTCTACAAGTCTTGCAAAAATACCTTGGCTGAGAAAGACTATAGTTGTTATAGTAACAAAATTTTGTATTTGTTGAATTACACCTTGGACAATTCAAAGCTTGGTCTTTTTGTGGCCTAACTTTTCTTTCTACACATGAATTAGGTTTTGATGATCCATTTGTGTTTTGTATTATCTCTTCCATTGGCTTCACCACTATCTCCTACAAAAACAAAAAAACAAAAAAACAAGAGGAAATAAATGAACAAACATAACAACAACAGCAACAACAACATACTCCAGTATAATTCCACAAGTAGGGTTTGGGATGACAGTATGTACGCAGACCTTAACCTTACCTAGCGAGATAGAGACTGTTTCCGAGAGACCGTCGGCTCATGAACAATATTATTAAATAAACACCGAAACATCTATATATGTGAAAATACTAAAATTTCGACAACTATTAATTAGATTCTGATCAACGTATATATAATTTGAAAAGTGTAATCGTTCAGTGATATTATCAAATTTAAATCTTAGATCCGACTCTGATTTTCGTTATCAGCATCAGCTAGCTAGCACCACAAAGATTTTCAGATGAGTAATTAGAAAGGGAAAGGAGAAAAAAGTCAGGTGCTTTGTACTTTAAAAACTTTAACTGTAGTTTAATCTTTTTCACTTTCTCAACCTTTTCATTATCACATATATGTGGAATAAAAAAGAAAAAGTGTAGAAACAAAAGAAATAGAGACTAGGACTTTTCTCAAAAGTAAATCAAGATATTTAACTACAAAAACTCTAATCCAAAAAAAATACAAAACAAGAATTAATTAATGAGATCAAGAGAAACAAAGAAAAGATTAAGCTGAAGGATCTCTTTAAGAATTCTCTTAGTTTAATCATACCTGAGGCCATTGAGCAGTATCCATTGATGAAGAAGGAGGAAGAAGAAAAGCAAGAAATGGAGTTTTTTTTTCTTTCTGAAAAGGAAAAATGAGCAGCTTTATGAACAAGTGGTTTTAAAAGAAGAAAAAGGAATGTTTGAGACGGTTTGTGGATGTTGTATCTGCTTTATGTTTGTGGGAAGAGAGAGAATAAATAATATATTTTTTTGGTTTCTCATCAGCAAATTCCACTTTAAAAAGTATAGCGTTCGTATTAAAGATGACTTTATACCCAGAGTTGAAACTCGAGAACTCTAGTTATGCCAGCACACTTTGAAAGATAGAGTTTTCCTTTTTAAAGGCGATTCTGAATTCAAGAACTCTAGTTAAAAGTGGAGGAATATTTATCTCGAGTCGCATTAAAAGTATAGCGTTCCCTATTAAAGATGTCTTTATATCTAGAGTTTGAACCCGAAAATTCTAGTTATGCCAACACACTTTGAAAGGTAGAGCCTTGCTTTTTGAAGGCGACTCTGAATTCAAGAACTTTAGTTAAAAATGAAGGAATATGTATCTCGGATCGCATTAAAGGTATAGCGTTCCATATTAAAGAAGAGTGTATACCCTGAGTTCGAACCCGAGAACTCTAGTTATGCCAGCACACTTTAAAAAATAGAACCTTCTTTTTTAAAGGCGACTCTTAATTCAAGAACTCTAGTTAAAAATGGAGGAATACTTATCACTTCATCACAGCGTCGATGTGAACGAAAGAATGAACTATGTGACATTCTTTTTCTTTTAACCTATTGACTATTTGTATAGTAGTTGTAGTTTTTTAAATTTGTTAGTGGAAGAATATATGTCTTTGCAGAAATAATATTTATATATGATGGTGGAGTTATCTTTTCTGACTAAAGAGGAGCCTGGCATTAAGTCAAATTGGTCTCTTTTTATATTAATCTAAAGCATATGAATTATCTTTAAATTTACCCCTTATATCGTGTAACTCTTAAATCCATGTGATAATCATGTATGTAAATTGCATCGTTACTTCTTTTGACTGGTGCATTACTAATTTGAAGGAATAAAACGTTTAGATGGATTTTAAGAACAATTTTTAGATTTAGAGTTTCTATTACGCATTCGATTTATTTAGCTGGAAAAAGAATAAAGGAGAAGTGAAACGAGTAAAATATTGTTACAAGATGAAAACTTGAGTGATTATTAAAAAAAAAACCTTTTTTTTTATGAAAAGAAAAATATTATTAATCTCTCAACCAACCAATTATATATTTTCTTTAAAACTGTACAGACTAGAAGTAAAATGCTTTTAGCCGCAAAATTCTCCTATCTATCATCCCTCTATGTTATGCTAAAAAAACAAATCCTCTATCCATTTTCTTCTATCTTTCCCCTCTTTCGTAATACTTTACAACTTTCTTAGGCATTCTTTTACATGACTATTAAAAGTCTTCACCAAATAAGGTTTTATTAAAGAATCTTGCCAAGTTATATCTGATGCAATATTTGTCCAGAAGTACTTATCGTAATTATCTAGTTTGGTATTAAACTCTTCAGGGATCCTGGTACCGAAACTATCCCAAGAATGAACACCGAACTATGATTTTCTTTAGTTTTCTCCCACTACGACGAAGTACTACTAATATTACCTTCATTACCTCACGACATTGAAATATTAGTGACTTCTTACTATAGTGTTCAATGTTCAAACATCACTCCCACTCGATAAAGGCATATCATGTCTATTAACATTCTCCCACTACTTAAATGCAATGGAACGTCAATTCTGATGTATGGGTTTTGATGTTCTTGAACATCTAGTTATTTCGTTGCCCAGTTCCTGTAAAAATAGTTTACTTCTCGGAACATGTTTTATTAAACATTCCTTGTCTAGAAAAATGCATTTGTTTTAACAATTGCCTTATTTTCTTTAGGACAATAAAATAAAGCTTCATTCGTTTTCTTGAATATTCGATAAACATGCACCTATCCATCCTTAGTTCCAACTTACATATATGTTTTCCCTTTCAGCACATATGCGGGACAATCCTATATCTGAACATGCCACAGACCAAGCTTACATTCAGTCCACATTTCTATAGATGTCCCAGTACTAACTTAGAAGGAACTAAATTCAGAATGTAATTTGCAGTTTCCAGGAAATATTCCAAAAACAAATAAGGCAAATCTGAATAACACGTCATTAGTCTATCCATATCCAAAAGAGACTTATTTGTTCTTTCTACTACACCACTCTATTATGGAGTTTACGGTGTAGTCAATTGAGATGTAATCCCTTATTCTGATATGTAACTAAAAAACTCTTTAGAGAGGTGCTCGCCACTACAATTAAATTGTAGTAACTTAATATATTTCTTTGGTGCTTCTCTATTTCAAGTCTTAAAAACCTTGAATTACTTAATTCATTAAGACTTACAGTGCATCAAATAAATATATTAATATTTTGAGTAATCATTTATGAACGTCATAAAATACTCAAAATCTATCTCTTACGAGTATGTTCATTTAACCATACAAATCAGAAAGGATTCATTCTAGCTTATCACTAGTTTTATTTCCTTTTAAAGGGAAACATCTTTTAGTCAAATTTCCTTCCAAACAAGATCCATAAGTTGGTAGTGCCTCTACTTTCAATAAACCTTATGGTCCATCCTTGACCAACTTGAAATCCTATCCAGATTAATATGACTTAGACAAAAGTGCACAAATAAGTTTTACTCAATTTTGAAGAATATATTCTCTTATGAGGTAGACTAATATTGTTCTGTTCAGGAGAAACATCAATATACAATAACAAAGTCCTGCATTCATGTACCACAAGAGATAAAATGTTTATTAAGCTCAATAACTCAAGAGTTATTCGAAAAATAAAACAAATATCCATCTCTTATTTTACCCAGAAACCGGAATTAAATTCCTTCTAACAAAAGTACATATATTGCATCCTTAAAATTAATGCCTTATCACTAAGAGAAAATATTAACAAGTACTATGACCAATTGCATAAAATCATTATGGAGTTGAGATAAAAACATTAAATAGATCATAATAAGTCAAAACACTGAATAGTAAAATTCAGACTGCATTCAATATTTATATACATACATGCATTTGGAATAATAAATTTCGATGGGAAAAGAATCATTCATGCAAAGTATATTATATAATGCAAGAATTATACAATCCAAAAATAAATAGAACCAACTCAGATGGAGAGCATACTATTATTTTCAGTCAATTGTATATAACTTTTTAATCCAAAAATTTTAAACACACTACACATATATGTCATGCATCTTGAATAGCAATTTCGATGGGGAAAGAACTACTCATGCAACATACATATGCAATGCCAGATTATTCACTCCAATAATTAAAACAGACCCAACTCAGATGGAGAGTATACTGTTAATTTAAGTCAAGTGAACATCATTTTTAATAGCTCTAGTTCCATTGATCCAACATGTATACTCAGATGGAGAGTAAGTACACGATATCAATTACTAGTATTTCACCTAGTGAGCTTACAATAAATTTATCCGATATGGAGGAAGACCTAAAGTCAACGCGTAAATTTATTACTCACTTGAAATTAATAGTGAAAGACCATAGAAATATAATTCTATCACCATTTAATCATAATTGTATTTTAGTAACAAAATTGATTCACCCCTTAAACTCAGATAGAGAGATAATACAGGTTATCAATAACTAGTAACTATATCCAGTGAGTTCATAATAAATTTATCCGATATGGAGGAAGACCTAATATCAACACGTAAATTTACTATTTCACTATAAATAAAAAAATGGAGATCATAGGGGTTAACTCCTATCACCACTTTATCACAGCCACGAACATTTCTCTGAGGATTAAGTTCCATAATTTAAAAAAATATTCAATACCCCATTTAAACAGTATTAAAATACTAAAATTATTATTTTACACTGCATAGCAGGGATTATTGTTTACTGGACTGTTTCTGATAAATCTACCAAATTTCATATCAATCGGAGATCGTTAAAATCACAATCTCCAAAAATTGCGACCAAATTTGGAAAATTATCATTTTAAGCATTTTTTAAGAATTTAAAATATGACCTACATTTTTATCATATACCAATTCATGTCAAATCAACATGTGTTATTATGTTACAGATTAGACATAAATAAAATGATAGAAAGAATGACTTTTCGTATGTAAATCGCATTTTAATCCGTCAAACCTCCAAAAAACGCATCTAAACGATCCCGAATCGTCCAAATACGATGTGATTCACTGCATAGCAGTGAGTTCTTCTTTAATGATCGTTTTTGATGATCCTATCGAATTTCAGGTCATTCGGAGATCGTGAAATTCATGATCGCCAAAATTAGACCAAATTCGAATAAATTATTTTTTGGCATAGTTAGGATTAAATCCATGTGATTTGCATTCCTCATATATATCATATCAAGTTAAATCACATGCTTCAGATTTAACACAAATATAGCCGATATATAAAGAATAATTTTTCATATTTATAACAAATTCAATTTACTAAACTGCTTGAAAACCCATCTAAACGACCTCAAAATGCCAAAAACAACATGATTCCCTGATTCACTGCATAGCAGTGGGTATTTCTCACTAGATCGTTTTTGTTGAACCCACCAAGTTTTAGGTCAATCGGAGTCCGTCAAATTCATGACCACCAGCCTGTAACCAAACTCAGAGAATAACCGTTTTAAGTAGTTTCATGAATTAAAATAAATATGATATTGATTTCCATTCTCCTTATAATTACACTATGAGCTCAAGGCATATATTATGTTCTTCCTATTTCTAGGATATATAATATATTCTTTTGCAATAAATTATTCTTTTATTAAATACACAAGAACCTGAAATATTATATTTTCTCCCGTTCGGCGAAAAACTTAATATCTCTTCTCATGGTGGAGTTGGTATCACTAGTACCCAAAGATAAAACTCTTTTTCTAGTTAAGAACCTCCACCACTAATGTAGGTTTATCAAGGATAATTTTCACATGGTACATTAAGCAGATTTTAATGACTCAAATAAATAGGCCGTTTGTGGATCCTATTTATTAATCATAATGCTCAATCCATGAATAGACACAATTTCACATGTACAAATTTATTAAGAATTTTTCATTTGTTCATATAAACAAAC